ACCTTTTTCTTAGCAATTAAAATAAAGAACAACCAATAAAAAGCTAAACAGAAAAAAGAGTAACTTTTCTTAATGATTAAAATATTATTGAACCCTAAGAAAAATTACACATCTTTATTAACAATTAAAACGGAAAATACTAAAAAAGAGCCAATTTTTTAAAATAAATAAACCATAATTCTTTCTTAACCATGCAAATCACTAAAAAATGTTATAACCTTTCTTAACAATTAGAATGCTAATAACTTAAATTTAAAAGAATATAAATAAAGTGTTGTCTTTTTTTAGTAATTTATTAGGTAAATTATTGAAAAATGTCATAATTTTTTTTAGTTCTTCATTTGCATAACTACTAAGAAAAGTAAATATTTTTAAAATCTCTATTCTAGGCATTCACCAAATGTTTGTTGTTTCTCTTCTCTCTATTAGTGATAAAATTCCTTACACCCTTTCTATTTTATTTATCCTTAACATTGTTAAAGTTTCATTAACATCATTAAAACCTTGCTTGCCACTATCATTTTCTCTCAACGTATTCAAAGGATATTACATCATTGTTGATGCCATCAAAACCTTATGTTTCTTCACCATACTCCATTAATATTGTTTAAAACCTTCTTTACCACTTTCATTTAATTTTAATATTGTTGAAGTTTGTTGCTGTCATTGATGTTATTGAAATATTTTCTTTCTTTCTTAATGCTCCATTTAGGTACTTTTTCTCTTATTCTCTCTTTTCAACGGGATAATTGTGACATTGTTTGTAGAGGTTGATTAGTATCTTCATCTAAAAAGTTTTAGTTTATAACTTGATATTCATATTAAATTTATTGAATTTTTGTGAACTAGACTCTCATTGTGAATTTGAATTTGTTGTATATTTTAAATTATTGTTTATTTAGCACTCTTTTTTCATAAAATTAGGAAATGATTTTTTTTTTAAAATTTCTGTAAATAAAATAAGAAACAACTAATAAAATTATCATTTCTTAATCGGTTATACAAACAACAACTTTCTTAGCGATTAATTGCCTAAAATTGCTAAAAAAATGTTTTTCTTAGTTGTTTGTTCATAACCCATTAAAAAAACTTCATAAACACTTCAACTTTAAATACATTTTTATTTGCAAAATTGTTATATTATCACTAAAAGTATGCTACTTACCTTAGCATATTTTAATAGCTAAGTAAGCTTGTAAGCATTTCAAATTTTAATTTATACTATGTAATACTATAAAAGAAAACAATTATACAAAACCTAAAAATATAGAAAAATTTGTAGACAAATTTTTTAATTATCACATACAGATTTTAGAATTATAGATGAATTTACAAACAATTTTAGCCTATTTGTAATATCTACTTGATAAATAATTATAGATAAAAAAATTTATCTATAAATTATAGACATAAATATCTATCTGTAATTTATTTGTAAATTTTTTTAAAAAATTTCACTTTTTTTTACAAACATAATTATTTCTTGTTGTTTTTAATTATCACAATTTATAAACATAAAAAAAATAAAAAATTATATATTTAAAATAAAAAATTATTTATAAAATATAAAATCAAAATGTCATTACAAATGAAGAAATAAACATCTAAATGAATAATATCAAAAATAAAATAACAGTGTATATCACAAATAATCAATGTGATCATCATTCAAAAAATGTGGAGATGATGCATGGAACTGAAAACTAATGATGTTAGAGCTGGTGGAGGATGAGGAAAAAGTGTGGAGATGCTTGCTCTCATGAGCTCAAAGTATGCATGCATCTGCTACATCTACATATGTTGCTGTTGCACCTCTCTCTGCATCCTCAATGCCACTTTCTTCTCCATTTTCTTCACCCATTTTTTTTTCATGCACTTTCCTTGGTCTTTCACATCTCCTCATTTTGCTCCTATAGTTCTTCATTGAGGGTATGGACCTGAGTGTAAACCATGTCCTCTACTTCTTAAAGTGCAAGAGAAAGGACATCTTCGGTGATAGATGCAGATGTAGGGGATATAGAGTCTACAAAACGACTTCCCATGCCATAATGTGACCTTTATAAAGGTAACTCACCATCTCTGATCATATAGTATCCTCATCAATTGACTCTAGATCTTGAGAAAATGTCTGTTCAAGCCTTTGAACATAATCATCTTACAGTTTAATGCAGATAATTATATATTAGTCTTGAGAACTATTTAATAAATTATTAATAATAATATATAGTGTCAAGAAAGATGACTTACATATATGGCCTGAGATCATGTATCAACCCATAATAAAATAATACAATTATTATAACATTCACATCAAACAGAGTTATTAGCCATATTTTGAATTTAACTTACCAAGTGGACCCATCCCATCTCAAACTTAGAAATGATCTCGTTAATGCATGAGTCTGTGATGATTGTTGTCCACTTACAGCTAGAACAACAGTAGATCCCTCACTTGTGCCCTATGTAGAAGGAGATTGTGTGACATGTATAGTTGATAGTGAAGGAAACTGTGTAGCATGTGTAGTCAGTAGTACAGATTGAGAAACTCGCTATACTGGAGGGGAGGAGCAATATATCTAAGGTTGGGCATCATGATAAACTGCTCTTACACCATAGTTTGGAGGTCTGCATTGTAGTTAGTGTGGAAGTGAAAGTGAGAGTGGTGGGTGAAAGAGTGTTGCCACGATTAGGAGGCTGAGCAACATCTTTCTTACCTTTATCTGTCATATCTGAATCAAATATAATATATATTTGGAGACCAAATATAAAAATACACAATGTTGTATCAACTTTTTATTTTACATTACACAAATTTCTAGTACAGATTTCGGTAGAATCTCCCCTAATATATAAATATTTCTTTACATTTGTTTACACTTAATACAAAAATTTAAATTTCTTTCACATATAATCTATATATTATATAACAATCTATTAATCAATACATTAAAAACATACACATCACAATCCTAAACCGTTCTAGAACACATCCCCTTGTAACTCCATAACATGTATATTATATAATCTCCACAAGTACAAACAATCTCACAGCACACAGTAATCAGGTTCGAGAAATGACCTCTATACCTATCCCCTAGTCATATAATCTCCAGTTCTACAACTCTATCTTAGAAATTTTAAGTCTCTGTTATACATAAAAAATTAAAAAACTAACTGATTAAAAGTTAAAATATCATACCAGAAACACAATGATGGAAATTGTTTTTCAAATAGATGCTCTAACCACTCACAAAAGCTAAAAAACTGGTAATGCTAGAAAGAGACAAAGACAGAGAGATGAGAGAAAGAAGAAAAATGGAAACTAGAAATTTGTAAATGGTTTAATAAAATGGTGTATTTTACAAGTTTAATTACAAATGGATTTTTCTATATATAAATCTGCCAAAGACCATTATAGAAAAAAAAAATCTATCTATAAATAGGGAAATGAGAAGTCAGTAAAAATAGTCTTATTTACAGACAATTTTTGTTCCGTCTGTAACTTTCACTTTAAAATTTCTCCTAATTTTTAAATTATAGAAAAAAAAAACACCTATAATATTGTCTATGATTTTTTGCGTCAAATGATAAGATGTATTACAGACGAAAAATATAGACATAAAATCCATGTGTAATACAGATGAATTTATATACATATTTTTTCAAAAAATAAAAAAGTTAAAAAAAACTGAATATCTGTCTATAAATCCATTTATATTTTTCTTGTATATATAGCGTATTTCTAATAGTGAAAGATATTTTAATTGCTAAAAAAACTCCTAAATTTGTTATTTTGAAAGAGATTATGGCCATGACTTTACAACTACAAAGGAGAAATGTACGGCTGTTAACAATTAAAACAATAGAGCATATGTTTAAATAAATATAACTAATAAATTACTACTATAAAATTATAGTATTAAGAATAATATTATAAAATATTTATTTAAAAAATTAAACTTTAAATTGTAGACATAAAATAATATATTTCTTCATTAAATTGATAATAAAAGAATATTTTATTAATATATATATATATATATTACTTTCTTATAATTAATTTATTATGAATTATACAAAATTGAGTTTTGTTAACTTTAATATTTGAAATTAAATTTAAGTATCTGTAAATAATTTTTTTAAATAAAAAAATACATATTTATTGTATTAAAATTATAAAAATATAATAAATAGTTTTTAAATAAAATATTACTATAATTACTTATTTATATCTTTAGTTATAAGGATTAAAATTAACAATTTTTTAAATATTATAACATATTTTTATAAAGTTATCTATAACCCATCAATTATTATTTTCTTATCATACATTTTAAGATATTTTATTATTATTATTTTTAACATTTTATAATACAAATATAGTAAGAAATATAATTTTTTCTTAACTTGATATATGTATATTAAATAACAAATTTATCTTTAATTTGTAATCGTATTATCTATTATAAATTTATACAACTATATAATAAGAAAATATATATAATATTTTTATATTATTAATTAATGGAAATTTGTTATTGTGTCATATAAAAAATATAACGTCAATTAAGTACATCCTTGGTTTTATTGATATATGTACATTGCTTCAATAATGTTCAATTCTCTTTAGAAATTACAATCACGAATAACATAAATATAAACATAAAAGCATGAGATAAACACAAGAGAAAGAGATTCTGAAATCCCATGAAATTGCCAGTTTTCCATTTTTGAGCTCGGTAAAACAAGGATAAAAGAAAGTCGACACAAACGATTGTGAAAAATAAAACAGCAGAAAACGACATGTACAACATGGCAGGCACATGAAAGTGGTACAGAAAAAAGAAAAAAGAAAGGAAAATTGGAAAGCCAATAAAAAGGAGAATAAAACGTTGGTGAAAAAAACAAAGGAGTCTCCTGTGATTTCCCACCTCACAACACTTGGACGACATTGGTCACTCTCAGCACAGCATTGTAAATACCGAACTCAATCACACGAGACAGGAGTCACAGCCTCAAACCAAAGGAAGCCTTTGTTCGTTTCTCTTTCTCTTTTTAAAAAATTAAATCATCACTCTCTGAAAACTCAAAGCAAACCCGAGGAAAGCATCAGCATCACTCGTTACTCATTCCTATTGCTGGGCCAATGGAGAGCTTTGCACTCCACTCGCTCTCCACCTCAACCTCTCTCTCTCGTTTTTCCCATCTCCTTCATCGTCGTCGTCCTCGACCCATTTTCAGATCCCAATTCTCTCTTCCATCCAACCCAACTCCATTTCTCAGATCACCCATAATCACCCAAACTTTCCCTTTTCCCTCTAAAGCTTCCACCTTTAATCCTCTCACAAAACCCCACAAAGCAATTCAAGCTGCAAAGTCCTCTCCACCATCACCACCCCCACCACCAAGTCCAATTCAGGGTGCAAAGCCCATCCCTTTGATAATTTCCATATGCATAGGCCTCGCTGTTCGGTTCTTGGTTCCGAAGCCAGTGGAAGTGACACCCGAAGCATGGCAATTGTTATCGATTTTTCTGACAACGATAGCAGGCCTTGTTCTGAGCCCGTTGCCGGTGGGGGCGTGGGCCTTTCTGGGCCTGACGGCGTGTGTGGTGACAAAGACTCTGAGTTTTTCAGCGGCTTTCAGTGCCTTCACGAACGAGGTGATTTGGTTGATAGTGATATCGTTTTTCTTTGCTCGTGGGTTTGTGAAGACTGGGTTGGGGGATAGGATTGCTACGTACTTTGTGAAATGTATGGGAAAGAGCACTTTGGGCTTGTCTTATGGCCTCACTTTCAGTGAAGTTCTCATTGCTCCGGCAATGCCTAGCACCACTGCAAGAGCTGGTGGTGTCTTCTTGCCAATTATTAAGTCTCTGTCTCTCTCTGCTGGCAGTGAACCCGATTCTCCCACGGCTAAGAGGCTAGGGGCTTACCTTGTTCAGAACCAGTTTCAGGTTTCTACCACTTTTTTTATGTATCTTATTGCTATAATTATTACATGCCAGAAGAAAGACATGGAATGGTGTGATGTGATGGATGTGTCACAAGCATGCACGGTCCGTTGGTTTTATTTGAATGGAAAGAATTATGTTAACTTTGATCTCATGTTGCTAAATGAGTGTATGTGTCTATTATGGGAAGTTTTATGAATGTAAAATTTAGATTATTTAACAAATATATCATTAGGCATAGATTTCATATGCTTTATAGGTTGTTTTAAGATTTGACTTTTGTGAAACAATTCAAAATCTTTCTTGGATATTGCTGGCTTATGTATGATTCACCGCCTTGGAAAATTTTCAGTTTTCTTGGTTTTGTTATTATGAGGAATTGTGGCACTATTTATGGATATTGTTATTATGTGCATATATTTTGGTGATGTTGAATGTTTCCCTACTTGCTCTGTCTTTTGTTTGCAAATTTCTATCTTGTGATAAGGAAGTGACTTGTGCATTGCCTCTGTGACCTGTGACAGTCTGCTGGTAACTCTAGTGCTCTTTTCCTAACTGCTGCAGCTCAAAATCTGCTGTGTATCAAACTAGCAGAGGAGCTTGGTGTGATAGTTTCAAACCCTTGGGTTACTTGGTTTAAGGCAGCTAGTTTACCTGCGCTTGTTTGTCTTCTTCTTACACCATTGATTTTATACAAGCTCTATCCCCCTGAAATCAAAGACACACCAGAGGCTCCTGCCCTGGCTGCAAAGAAGCTGGAAAGTATGGGCCCCGTCACTCAAAATGAATGGATTATGGTTGGCACAATGCTTCTTGCAGTCTCTTTGTGGATCTTTGGGTATGTCATATGCCTTCTCTTATATCTACATCTATGTATATGAATGAATGGTTTCTTGATTGATTTCTAAGTTTGTTGACTTTTTGGGTGGATTATTTGGGGTCCCTTGGAGATGCTGAAAATAAAGAATTTTGAAGGAAGAATGTTTTTAATTAACACTTTCTAATGGCGATCAATGGTTTAGTTGCCTAGCTTATGCCCTTTTGTTTATCCTCTCGTATGCATATTAACTCATGATTATAATGTGATCTTGTTAGTAATAGTAGTTTTAATTTGGTGTCTTCCCGAACTATACTATTTTGAGTCACTATCCCTTCTGTTGATGACTATGAAAGAGTCCACTTGTTATACCCATGTAAGTTGTTGTTTTTCTTACAAATTTTCTTAGTTGAATTCAGTACTATCAGTGTTTTTCTGGTCCTGCAGAGAGACTATTGGTATAGCAAGTGCTGTAGCAGCAATGATTGGTTTATCCATACTCCTCCTATTAGGAGTCCTTGACTGGAATGACTGCTTGAATGAAAAATCAGCATGGGATACCTTAGCTTGGTTTGCCATTCTAGTAGGTATGGCAAGCCAGTTGACAAACCTTGGTATTGTGAACTGGATGTCTGATTGTGTGGCCCACAACCTTCGTTCATTCTCTTTGAGTTGGCCAGCCTCATTGGCTGTTCTTCAGGCGGCTTATTTCTTCATCCATTACCTTTTTGCAAGTCAGACAGGACACGTGGGGGCTTTATACTCTGCGTTTCTTGCTATGCATAGGGCAGCTGGTGTTCCTGGTGTTCTGGCAGCGCTTGCTTTAGGTTATAATACAAACCTTTTTGGTGCAATAACACACTATAGTAGCGGCCAGGCTGCTGTATACTATGGAGGTTTGTCCCTCTCAATAATGTTACATTATCTCTGTTTTCATTTTCTGTTTTCAGCTATATAATTATTTCGCATGTGTTTGTTCAATAACTTTCTTCCATTGCTTATGCTTACAGGGGGTAATATTTATCCTTCTCTTAAACTACCATGTCAATTGCATTTGGTTCTAACACCATTTCTGTTTTCTCAATCTTGAGACTGTTGTTTGTTGAAAGCAAATTAATTGTAACTTTTAAAAACCTTCCAAAATAAATGTTGTAGCTGAGTAAATTTATTCTTGTTCTGCTGATTCTAGTTGCAATTTGTGACCAAAAGGCTATTTCTGTTACCACAAACATACCCTTTTCTCCTGAATTTATGCTTAAGCATGGTGACTGATATGATTTCGATTGTTCTATTTCAACAGCTGGTTATGTAGAACTTCCGGATATCTTCAAAATGGGGTTCATTATGGCCGTTATTAATGCTATCATCTGGGGAGGTGTTGGCACTTTCTGGTGGAAATTTTTGGGCCTGTATTGACTTTTCATTTCCATGTAAGTAAATATCATTTTTTCCTGTTTCAGTTGGCCTTTCTTTTTCCCGGCCGAAAGAAAAGTCCTTAAGTTGAGGACAATTGAGCTCACCATTTTGACATGAATTTTTCCTGCTTTTGGCTTTATTTATTTGTTAGTTTTAATATTGTTACCTTTGCTTTAGTTTATATACACTCAATATTATTTATAAAGGATTTAAGGAATCCTAAAAGGTTTGACACTTGGATGATCTTCTTTTGTGGAGGTTTAGCATGGTTTGATGATGTTAGCCTTTCCGACTAATCAATTTTCTGATCTACCTCGGTGTGTTTGGGAATGTCTAATACCACTCATTTAAATTTTTTTTCTTTTAAATAGCCTTCTTTGTTAAATAAAATAATAATTTAGAGAAAGTTTATGAAATTTAATTAAATAAGAGCAGTAAGAGACATGTTGGAGTGGTAATAGATATCCTGCTGGCGTGTGATTTGTTTTTAACATGCTTCATTTTCTATGAAATTTTAACACGCTTTACATCTTAGCATTATAATTAATCTTGACATGTATATGCCCCAATCATTACTTTAATCAAGGAATTTTGGACTATGTTCTCTGAAAAAATGTAATTTGCTGTCACTGTATGGAGACATAAAGCAGCAAATCCAGATACTCAATTCAATCGTGATGCGTATGATAAATTGATAGAAATGCAAGATCGTCCTAGTTTTATAGGGAATTAACACTTGCTGGATTAGTGGCATCATACGGGTTACTAGTAGGGGAAAGAAATTTTAGAAGACGGATAATTATAAATCTACCTACTCTTTATACTTAAAACTATCTTCTAATTGTCAAATGAAGAAAGTAAATGTTTTCAAGATAATGAATGTGTACTTTTTTTTATTTAATACATACTTCATAAGGTAGTGAGAAAATTAAAAAGATTTGTAAAATAATATAGCAAAGTTCTTAGACGACAAAAGCTAATGATTATTCTCAAGACATTTGTTAAAAATAAACAACATAAAATATTAGGCACTTGAGTTAATGGCAGAGTGGATCCAAGTAGAGTTAACTATAGATTGCCATGTCAACAAATAAAAAAGAAATAGCATTACAAAAAGAAAGTGCTTGCCATGAAAAGATATAAAATGGCTTATGATATTGAATATCAATTAAGAAACGTGGGTAAAACAATATGCAGACTAAAGGGGATAAAAATGGATCCATCTTTCAAACATTTCGAAGCATTCCTTGTGTTTGTACTCCGAAGGAGAATGCCCAGCTCCCTGTTGAAACCATAAAGACAAATTTGGCAAATTTGGCCAACAATTACTGTCATTTGATCTCGTTGATGGCATTAACATGAGGTTCTTCTTACCTTCACAGTTGCATAAGTCAAACGGTATCCAATTTTCGAATATAGAACTTGGTACCTGTACCACACATTTGATACCAAGGTTCCTAGTAAGCATACAACAATTGAATAATGCATCTTACAAAAATGTCTATTTCACATATTTAGTCAAATATCATCATTATATAATACAATTTATTTTTTAGAGTATTATTTTTATTTAAACATCAAATATATTATCATTAATATTGTTATATTTATCTATAAATCTGCATGAAACAATATGATACCTAATGATATGTTAACTCACTCACCCTGCAACCTGACCATCAACAAACCAAGGTCGCCATGGTTCATCAACTGTCAGGAAAAGGGTCCTTATCCATTTTTCGGTAGATAAATGTGAGACAAGAAGATCATGATCACCGCTACAGTATGAAAGGAAAAATGAATAATACATTTAGACTAAATGTGTGAATGAAAATTCAACTTTAGGAGCATATATAATATGGTTTGAACATATTTAGCCTTTTAATTTGACATGTAATAATTAACCTACTCATAAAGCAAGAGTTGTAGGCCTGTGTGAGTAAGGTACTTGTGGTAGTTAACGACATCATAAATATCATAATCGTAATGGTCATCTAAGACTATGTTGCACCTGTACCATTGTTTTACAGTTCCCTGTATAGAGTTCGGAAATTTTGTTAATCAAACTTTACAAGGAAGGAACCGTGTTAACACATTCTGGATTATACCTCTCGAACATGAAGTGCTTCTTGAACTTTCTTATTGTTTGCCCATACCACAGAAAGTATATAAATAAAATTCTGAAGAGAAACAATGTTAGCTTGGTAAGGAATTTGAGCTAAGGATATTAATTAATAAATGTCACAAATACCAAACATTTATAAGTTGATAGTTTTTGAGACCTTGCACCACCATTCTGGATGGCGTGGTTTTTGAGATTGCCAATTGAAACCTCTTCCTTTTAAAGCTCTTCGAGTTTGTGTATCATTTGGTTTTGGTGATATTTTTGCACAGTAGGGATCCAAAACATCTTGAGTATAAATATCAACGATCAACTGCAACTTCAAATGCATTAATTTTCTATTTTTCGAACAAGGCTATAGAAAAGAAAAGTATACGAATTTGTAAACCTAACACTTTGGTTGAGTCACATAACCTGTTCAATTTTGTGGAGTGCTTCCACGCATTTTGTATTGGAGGGGTCTACGTTAACGTACCATCCTTCGCAACTGTCATTGGCTTCCTAAGGAAGAGTATACTTTATTATTTTATTTATTGCTGAATCATAGTAGGATCAAAATATATTTTATATAATATGATAAACCTAACTAGCTATAATAAAAGGCCAATAATAGTAATAAATAATAATAATAATCTTTGAGTTAATTACCTCGTAAAGTCTATCTGATATTAGTGCCAATCGATGAGCCATAATAATTATTGAATTCTTTTCGAGATCTTTACTTGTATGGGGAGATCCACCTACCATTCCCTAAATGCATTTTGAAAAACATTTTGCATATTACAAGTTTACAATTGAAGCATAATGGACTCTTTTTGTGGGTACAAGCATCATGGATTTTATTGGAAAACGATTCATCACTTACTATTAAGTGTATGTATGGCTTTAGTCCAGCTGCATTGCCTGAATTTCATTAATTTACAAGGCTTGTAAGTATGCTGATATTTGATAACATTAAATTGAACCAAAATAAGTTATCTAATATGGAAAACGGTCCTCCTTTGTATTTATATTGAAGAATCGTGAGTTGCTAATAATTTATTTGATGTTGTGCTACGAGAAATTTCTTTACACTATACTATTTGGTTTGATTTATATAAACTCCAAAAATAGTAAGTTTAAACTAGAAGTTTCTGTCTAAAGGGATTTTTATCTTCTATTATGAATACTAACAATTCCTGAGGATTGAAGTATCATGAAAATGGGACTTCATCTTTTCATATACTCTAGTTCAAGTCTTTTTGAAGTTACAGGGAAATGATAAAAGGTTGTGATTCATGATTACCATCTAATATATGCTTCATAATTACTGGTGCAAGTATACCGCTATACGAGTCACTGGCAATAAAGATTCGATTTGGAATATATTCAGGGTGTTCAATCAACCACTGCATTTGAATGCAAAATTAGAGACATTATGTACACGATTTTATTTTGTTTCATAATCTATGGAATTGGAAATAGTGTCTTTATGGAACGAGCACCAGTTAGAAATTGAAAGCCATACATCAATACATTTACCTCTCTCAAGAATTTGTAAGTTTGTCTTGCTGACATAGAATCAGATAGGACAAAACTTTCTTGGGCTGTAGAATATGAGTATCCAGTGCCAACAGGTGCATCTACAAATATAATACTAGCAGTCTGGAAAAATTACAATAACCATCAATTTAATATATGAAAAAACAAGAAAGAAGTAAGGGAGTAATTAAGATCACACATTACATTATAGTCAACCTGAAGTGAATAAGAAATTAAGGACATTGTTGTATTTACCCTTGTCCATGGATATGGCCTTAAGACTAATTGTGGTATACCGCCAGTATAATCAGTCCCATTGAAGGCCAGTGGACCTTGAAGATGAGGAAAAAAGGCGGGACATTAGTGATTTATGCAAATGGTTTAGGCTCAATACAGATAGCAGATTAGCATGTTGGTAACTGTTGAAGAATATGAACAAAATATAAGATAGAAGACACATAAACTGATGGTTTCTTTAAGGACCCCAAAAAATAAAATATTGAGTGAACACTATTCTGCTTTTATGCAGTGTCACCCTTTCATTCTTCCCTTGGGATCAAATGCAAACTTGCATTTGTTATGAAAGATAGAGGGACAGAAAGATGTTTCAGACATTGGAAATAAAATTAAGACGTTAATTTTGAAGATATGGAAGAATAAGGAGAATTAATTCTCATGACAATATTTTGAAGACATAAAGGAGCCATACCTACTTGGAAGAACAAACCATTTAAAGCAGAACAGCCAGGACCTCCAATTAAGTATATAAGAAGAGGGTCAGTCTGTGGATTCCCAGTTGACTCAACAAAAAAATAGAACAGCTCTGAATCTTCCACCCTTATGTATCTTCAACATGAAAGAAAATTGAAGACAAAGTGTTGATATACAATATCAATATGCAATTGGACTTCATCTTTTGCACCACAATTCTTTTACAAGGCTTTAAGTGACACTAGTAGCTAGTAGTTACCCAGTTTCAAGTATGAATGGCAATTCACCAGAAAAGCCAGGGAGAGTTTTGACAATGTCCCCACAATCTGCAATTGTCAAGAACACTAGTAGAATCAGAAGCTGAGAGCAAGCCCACCCTAATAAATGCTTAGAAAAATATTCAGCCATTTTGGTTTCTGGTGTTATCTATGAGAATGAACAAGATCAAATTGAATATATACATCTATTACCTGCACCTCTACCAGTCATCACAGGCAAGGCAAGTATTCAACCGTTATTCTTCAGCCGTTTTAGCAGAAGGTCATAACTCACAACACTAGCTAGCTTCTTCTATATCTGACTGTCGAGTGTCAATTATGAAGTTCCTAGATTTGAAAGAGTGAAAGGTCAATAAACATAATATATTAAGAATAATCATATCTGAGTATTAACTTTAGCTGAATAATCATATTTTACACCTCTGAATTGCACAACTGCCTTTGTATATCTTAGGCCATCTAACAGCTTTTTAATCTCGAATGACTAAAAGTTATTGTTCACGTGTAACAATCAATCTCTATAGAAGCAATGTTGGTTACCTCTGAAAAGTGGATTCTACTCTCTTTTTTTATTACATTTCTTATAAACAATGGTTGCAAGCATAAAGTTGCTCTTAATCTACCATGTTCGTTCAAGTATCTTAATCATATTTAATGATTCAAAATCAATTTCATCAAAATGAATTCTATCCAACTTTAAATGATTGAACACTCGTCAAATTCCAAAACTCCGTTACTACTCTAGTACGACTGGCTTTCATCTTGGAAGATTAGCGAACAATGGTGCATCAACTTTGGTAAAGTTTCTTCGGTTGTATCACTTGAGAAGCCACCCATACCTGCTCCAACCATTAGAATTCTTGAATTTAATATCAATGGTATTTTATTTTTGTTACAATATCAATGGGATTTGAGTATGCTAAATCAGTCCATGTTGCACCATTATCTACAGTCTAGCCGTACACTTGCCAGAGTAAAGTTCATTTCATATGCCTCTTCCCTTATTTGCGATTTTATAAACTTGCATGTCTTTTTAGTCACCAAAATGATGAACAGTTCCGTCCATAACAAGATCCCTTGTAGTAATAGTAATGAATGACCCACAATTGTTTACTCATTTGCTTGAATTTTCATCGTGTTATGTGACAACTTCTTTTGCCCCCATGCAAGTTGTTGCCATTGCGTGAAATGAAAAACTTTATTACATGGCTTGACATGCATATTTGAAGCAAGTCAAGGAACAACAAAGAAGCTTGATTTTGATGGCTTGATTCCATGCAGAAAATTTTAGGTTTACGTGAAGCTCGGCTAATCTTTGATTAATGATGTATTGTGTTACACATATTTTTTAATATAATTGGGAATTCAATTCATCAATTTTGAGTACTTGTACCAAGATCATCTACAACACATTTCACCAAACAAATTTTAGGAGTAAAATCTTAAAAGACACGACTTACAGAACACCCAAAGATTATTGAGGGCGACCTGAAATGTGAAAAGGTTTCCACAGTTTCCGTTGAGATATAGCTAGCAAGCTAAATATCCTTTCCAATATGTATCTAAATATATTATCATGCTTCATTTTTTACTTTATGTTGTATGCTAACAAAAATTATACAAATGTGCTTCTATTCAGTTTTAGGTCATAATTAGTTCTCCAGGCTTGAAATAAGAAGTGACCGTCTTCAAGTGGAACAATAATCCAGCCGATGATAATAAAGGAAGTTTGGGTTATATTAGAAAAACAATGTTGAACATATCAGTTATATCAAAACATTCAGTAAAAAAGGAGACAAAAAAGAAAAAAAGATTGCTCAAAACTTCATTTAAAATCACACATCATGCATTATAGATCATACATGAACCCCTCTGTAAACTCTGTAAACCATATATGGAGTCACCAACATAACATAACTTAGTCTAGTCTATATTATGTAGCATTATAAGCTAACATTTCAATCAAACTCCATAAACATAGAGACACTGAAATGAAATATGAATATTACTGTTCATGATGAACATTGCCAACTGAGACAAGACTCTGTGCATAATTGAAGGAAGCATAACTATACTCCTCTCTATGGGAAGGCAGTTTCTTCAATTCATTGCTATAAGGATTGAAGAAGGATAGAGCAATTTTCACTCCCCCGTGTTCATCGCCATATCCACCGGATTCTTCCCAGCAAACAATTAAATCTCTCCAAATACTCAGTGGATACAAAATTCCTGAAAGGGGCCTCACACTATACATCTTAATCCAACTCTCACCAGCCACAGCACATGTACCATTATTTTCCAACACCCACAAATCAATGGAACAAGATTCATAGTTCCCAATAACAGCATAGCGAAACATAGCAAGTTTATCATTATGAACTGCAAGGACATGGCTATAACAAATAGCAGGTGAAGTTGGAGGACCTTCTAACAGGGTAAACACTTCCTCTGCAATGTCAAATGAAATCACAAATTCATGATCAGATTCGGTCATGGTGGCTTGCCAAAATATAGCACCATTGTTAGTGACAGAATTAGACCAAAGACCCAGGCTTTGCAAAACGAGGGCATCAATCTCTTTCCAAGAACCGGTTCTTAAAGAATACACTTCAGCTCGATTAACCCTAACGTTATCAAGAACCACAATCCCATCCTCATCATTCAACTCAGAGAGCGAAATTCTAACAATCTTGTAATCATTGACAACAGGACTGAAACCAAATCCAACGTAATAACAGCTTTTGACGTGAATTAGGGTTTCAGGTATATGTCTGATTTGCCTTGTTGCTGGGTTGAAAAGGGAAAGCTTGTAGTTGGAGTGTCTAACGCATAACAAGCCGTTGCAGGAACCAACAATCATAGCATCGGGTGAAGTGAAATCGATGAATTGGGGATGGTGAACGGTAAAGTCGGGTCCAATCAAACACTCGGAAGCGGTTAGTGAAGGACGATGAAATGAATGAGGGATTCGTTGGAGGAGAAGAAAGGTGCTGTTGTGGGAAGAGTGGTGAAGATGTTGTTCAGTGAAATAAGGGGTTTGTAAGAGGTTTAACCAATCTTTGGAGACACATTTGAATCGAATTAAGGATTTGACAAGAACCCTTTTCAGAATGTTGATGAGGACGTCGTCTGGTAAAAACCCATCCTTGCTGTTTCCATTTCCATTTCCATTTCCATTCCCAACCATTTCTAATGCCTATTTCTTTTTCCTTCATTCACTCACTGTCTTAGGTTATGTATTTGTAAGGGGGAAGAACGAGGCTTTTGTGGCCAATACCAATACTATCCTTTCAATTCTTTCTGTTTTAAACTTTTTTTAATATTGAATGAGTTTTTTTTTTTACACCACAAATTCAAACATGAACTCTGTATATTTATGCTTTATAATTTATACAAATTCTCTCTCTCTCTCTACCCCTCTCTCTCTCTCTGTCTCCAAATCCCATCAAAACTTCAAAAAATAAGAAAAAAAGAGCATCATTCGGTGTCTGTTTTTACATGTGTTCAAACATCATTATCATTAAATTTTGTATAAGCACCTGAGATTTAATTATATTTAAAAAGTATTTCATTATCATAAATATAAAATAAAATAAACCAAATCATTGAGGGTAGTTTAGGCAAATCAAATCGTAGATAATGTCGTGTTAATAGAGCCCTACCCCAAGTAAAGAAAACATAAATTGATCCAAAATGAAAAGGTGCGTAACTTGCTACAAGAACATGAGTACTAAATAGGCCTTGAAAGGAGAAAGGGATTGGCTCTATTACCAGATATACTTACTAGTCAGAAGTTCAATTTGTAATTTCTGGAATCTTGCGATAGAATTGGTCTGTTGTAATCCGTAAAAGCTCGTAACTCTATGAACATATTCATATACATGAGGAAAGAAACTAGATAATTTGCTACAAGGCAACTCGTTAACAGAATCATTGTCGTTAAAATTGACTCTCTGTCTGTCAAGTATACATCTAAGAAGAGTTCAACTACTGAGTCATAATCATAAGAACTCAAGAAACCAAACTATAAACAGAGCGATGGCAAGAAAGGCATCTATATCATTTGGCAGCGAAAATAATTCATGACTATTCCATTTAGTTTTCCTTTCTTTGCCTTCAGTCCTCCACGCTATTCATATCAGAAAAGTCATCTATTGATCCCAATTTTTCTAGGATCAATTTTTCTTGTTTCGCATCTGTTATTGTATAGTAAAGAAGTTCTTGATGAAGCAATAAAAAAGCTGTGGAGAGTGGATAGAACACAATACAAGAATGTTACATGCTATGCACAAAATGAAAGATCACTTAGATGCATTTGTTACCTCTAAAATTGATGATTTCTTTTGACTAAGATGAATGAAATTATTATGTGAAAAGATCACATGAAAAATTCCCATGTAAACTAAAGAACACTACTTATCTGTATCACGCTTTTATGTCAGAGAAAAAAATTAGGGCATCAAAACTTCAGCAACACAAGTAGCTTTTCTGATTTATTTTTTCTTTTTCAATAGGATCCACCCAAAGTTGTCAATTGACCCTTGTGCCTGATCCCGTTTAATAGGATAAGACTTGGTTGTCAATGTTGCAGTAACTATATGTAAAGCTAAATTATGCAAAGAAAGACAGCAAGGATACATTCTTGATCAGGGTTGTCAGTAAAATTGGAATGCAGAGCATTCCCAATGCAATCCACAATAGCCGAGGTAGTCATGGAGGATTCTATGCATAAAATTGCAGTGATGGCATCTAGTCGAATCACCTCATTTCTGAACATCAGCCTAGCATGGGCTGTAACATATAAAGTTAAAGCACATAAAAGGGATAAGTTGACCAGAGAAGCCTCATCCAGTGCCAGTTACATACCTTGAGCTAGGCGTATCAAACTTTCCAACATGCGAACAGTTGTCCTAGCTATATTGCAAATTCGCAATTAAAGAAACTGACAAATTGATAAATATTATATTCAATTTAGAGAATGACGTTTCTAGGTCAAACCTGCATTATATGTTGCAGATTTCCTTTGAAGTTGATAATAGCTGGATATAACCATTTCAGCCTCCCTTGTAAGGATAGGTCTGAAATTTTCTTTCACATAGTGTATATACCTGCAGGATTCTTTGTAGTATTATAAGTAATCGAGAGTTTCTTACAGAGCTATCAATATTAAACTTAGAAATTCGGAAAAAACCAGATCTGTCTAGTTTTAAAGAATATTCTACAGGACAAAAGGAAATCAACGGAGATTGAATTTTGCACACAACTACAGTCACTATATTCCATTACTTGTCCATGAAAAGAAATTGTTTATGTTATTTAAACATTATTTTTTAAAATTAACAAAAGTACACTAAACAAATGGAACACAAATAAAAAAATCAGATATGCAAAGGAAGTTAGATTAGAGTACAACAACCATCAGTGTAGGTTATCAGCAGCTTGAACTGCTAACTATAATCATGAAGCAATGGAGCTCAAAATCAAGTTAAAGAAGAGCACTTATATTTAAATTCTAATTGCTGACAAAGTTTAAAGATGACAGAGAATTGAGAGGCACCAAAGAGAGTAACATAAATACAAGACAGGTTCAAATACTTTTCTTTTTTAACTTCTATCTGTTGCGGTCAGCCTTATATCTTACCTCTTGAGTGTAGGAAGAGGCCAGATATTTGCTAGATCTTCATCATTGTTGGTTCTATCCGGTTCTGCCTGGATATTAGTTTTCATATGAGTACTATAATCTTAACCATAGGAAGCTGTATGCATTGTACAGGGATCAAGTGTACCTCAGAAAGAATATGTGATGAAACTACTGCATCCCATTCAGGATTTTTCGTATCCAAGAGCACAAGGACAATATCAAATCTGCTTAATAAAGGACCAGAGAGTGTTGTATTGACAGACAGAGCTACCTTGTGTTAAGTCAGACAAGTGTTGAATTCAAGCAATAGTAAACTACTTCAGACAAAAACCTAGCAGCAAGAGGAAAGAGCTCAATGCCCTTGAAATTGTACATGAAGAGTGATAGGGACCGTAGTTTGACATCAATTTTGAATAGTATTGAACTAATATATTGATTAAGTGATACGTTGATCAGGATCATAATGTCCCTTGGGATTTGTGGCGCCAAATACTGTTGTTCTAGTGCTGAGTGTTGTTACGAGACCAGCCTAGATAAAGCAAGAAAATGACTCAGTAGCCACACAGTTTTACCAAAAATCTACCAATGCAAGTTCACTTGCATTTTGAACAAAGCTAAAGCCATATTTAGATTTTGTTTAATGCACCCAAACATTCTACCTTGGCAACACTTATTGTCTGCTGCTCCATGGCTTCATGTATTGTTGCTCTATCATGTTCCCTCATACTGTCAAAAGAACTTTTAGTTTCATATCCAATTCCAACATGCTAAATAAAAAACATACATTTTAGCAAGAATTTCCATTAAATCTGAACTTTCGAGTTTCATTAAAGTGTCTAATCCAACTGCCTGAACCAATTTAAGAGTATTGAAGCTGTGAGGCAGAGGAAAATTAGAACCAATTAAATATAAATATTCTCCAGGTCTTTGAATTTCAAAATGGAAGAAACTTAGTGGCTTAGTGCAGTTAGAAAGTTCAGTTCTTGTTAAAACAAAGGACACTCATTTCTGGCCACAAGCTCTGTTGTGTCATTCATGAACGGTAAAGAAGAAACTTCAATTGGATAAGGCACCATGGTTGTTAAACTTAAGGAAATCGTGTCAAATTGCATGTAAACTCAATTTTTGATAAACTCACGTAAACCTGGGTAAACTCATGAGTTTACACCCGATTGTACGAGTTTAACAAAACAAAGGCAAAATCACATTTTTTTCATAACATAACAGCATTTGGAATGAGAGTACCACTTTTCTCCCCTCTCCGCAAGTTGTGAAACATCACATTTATAATTATGGCCCCAAAATCACATTATCAGTATATGATTTGGCTATTTAAGTATGATTTTAACTTTACTATTGAAATTTATTTCATTATAAGTTTTTAAATGTTATTTTTAAATGAGGTAAACTCGTAAGAGTTTATGATTCGAGTTTACGAACAATTCACAAGTTTACATAATCTCTCGAGTTTAACAACCTTGTAAGGCACTACTTCTAAAATGAAAAATTTTTTGTTAATAGACACAAAAATCAAATCTTTAAATATAATGACCAAAAACTAAAGGAAAATGTTTTATAATTCTTATCAACACAAGATTTACCGTATACATATCCAATTTAAACCTCTAACTATGAATATCATTTTCTGTTTTGTTTTCCATCTCCAAAACTGGAATAATACTTGACCACATACAACATTTGGTCAAGGACTAAATCTCCAGGAAAAACGTTGAAAATTACAAAAACTAAACCAATTACACTAAAGCTTACCTATCAAATTCATCAATGCAACACAATCCTCCATCAGCCAAAACAAGTGCCCCAGCTTCCAACATCCACTCACCTAAAGATTGCATAAATCGGCTTTGCACTGAGTAAAACCATCTACAAGGCATGGAGATCCATGCATGCTGGATTGTGTAACCAATTAAATAATTGAAGTATGATTAAATTAAAGTACACTTGGAATGCTAGATTATAACTTCAACAATAATAATCATTATTTTTGTCAATCAGAATATGCATTGAGAGGAAAGTTTAAGAAATGAATTCAAAAAATACATGTTGCATAAACAAAAAGTCCTTTATAGAACATTTGCAAACTACAAAAAGATATTATTAAAAAGTCAAGACAACCTAGTAATTCCTTTATGTTCAGGGTTCATAAACAATGTTCAACATAATTTACGACAGCATGTGGAACTAGAACATGATTTATCAAATAAGGGAAACCCCAAAAGTTAACTGAAGAGTACTTCAATAAACTAGCTTTAACAGCAAGAGATGAACTCGGACAGAAACAAAAGATTTTGACAGATATAGAATAGGTACTACTTCTAAGAATGGACGACAGTAAAAGAATCAGTTTCTGTGTAAACTTGTATGAAATTTACCTGCATCCTTCACTGCAGTAACAGTCAATCCCGCACTAGTGCTTCCCAACCCAGTGGTAATAACAGATCGATTGCTCAATTTTGCAGCAAATTTCAGAAACTGAGATTTTCCAGTGCCTATAACAAACAGTCAAATATAAACATGAGAGAAAATTGGGACTAAATTTTTTTTCTTT